TAACTCTAGATTTATCCTTAGGGGATGCACAGATCAATAAGCCAGCAGCTCTATCAGTCATGGGTGGAAAATTCTATGGCTCCAACCACTGGGACTGTCCTAGAATGACTTGAAATGGACTTAAACAGGCTTTCACGACTCCTATGTTACAGCAACCAATGTAGGTTAATTTGAGAAACACTGGGCTTGCTTTCTTTACTGTTTCTCTGTCATATCACTTTACCCCATGCAATAAATACACCCAATTGAACCAATCCTTCCATAATCTTCTGTATCATGACATCAAAAATTTCAGCATTGTTCCTCTGTGTTTGGCATTTGTAGCACCTCCTTAGGGATGTGGATGAGGCAAGAAAAAATTAAGAGAAAGAGTTACAGCCAAGAACTATTTTGATATAAAATCAGGAAGGAATGGATTCATAGAAACTTAACAGTAGTTTCTCATTCTTTTGTGCCCTCTGTGTCGTCTTAAACATGTGTCTCATTAACATCTTTTAACTTACAACACAATTATACATCTTAGCACTAGGAAATGATCATGGAATGAGTAGAATCATTTACTCTACATTGTGGATACTTTATTAACATGATTCCAAATGTATGTGGCATTATATTCATCCACCATTACCTATCCCACAGATACAGTGTTAGAGTTTCAGTCCGTCAGTTTTTGATCACATTGATCACATTGGAGGGGCGTAACTGTAGGAGTTAAGTCAGACACAAATATTCTGGACAGCATTCTGCAAGACATTTTGCAAAACAGGTGGGTGAAACATTGTTTACTCTATGTCACCCTGGGAAGCACTTATTAGCATATTAAAGACTGAAAACTCTTATATTAGAAAATAAATCTCTTTAGCTTTTGAATCCAGAACCTTCTATAGTTTGACACTGAGCTTGTTTTTCCAATCACATTTATTAACATTCCCTAGTCTCAGATTAGTGAACCACTATTTCGAAACATTGAATTAGACTTAAAAGACTTCAGCAACTGACAAGATTTTTCTTCCTAGAAATTCTAAATAATATTATCATTTTTCTTTTGACATCATTTTTTAAATGATCTGTCTAATTGACACAGAGCTCATTGACTCTGGGGAGGGAAAATCCAATTTTTGTGAGAACAATGAGGAATAAATAAACAACACAAAGCACTTTTATGAGTAATTCGTTTTGTTTGTGTAAAAATATTTGAACTGCTTATGCCTTAAAATACACATAAGAACATTTATTGCACTTGTCTTGCTTTTAAAACAAATTGCAGGAAGTATAATAATTATTCAATGAGCAAAAAATAGTTCAGATTCCTATTACTGCCCAGTTGCGTAGAACAACGCCAGGAAGAGAAGGTGGGATGAGGAAGAATAAGAAGGAAATCGGGAAAGAGGAGAGACATGATGGCGACACAGAATAACAAGTAAGGGCGTGTGATGGAAGGCGTGCCCCTTTCTTCAACCCTTTCCTGAATGCCACTCACTGGGTGTGTCTGCCTGACCGTTCTGTTGAAAGTGTATCATCGGCTTGCTTTATTTCCTCATCCTTGTTTCATATTCCTTCATGCTCATTGTCACCATCTGCAATCTTATGATTTGCATGTTTATTTGTCTATTGTTTGTTTCCCCTATGACAATGTAGCTTCTTTGAGGGCAAAGAATTTGTTCCCTTCTGATTCCTCGGTGCCAATAAGGTGCCTGGCAGGTAGCAGACGCTCAATCAAAGTTTATGGGACAGTTGAATAAAAAGATGCACAAAAGGATGGAAAGCTTCTATGCATGCAGAGAGAGAGAAAGAAATGGGGCGGAGACCAGGGTGCCTAGCAGAGTCTCCTGTTATGTAAACTGCTTGATCACACGCCCCTGCTGCTTACTCCTTGTTCTCCCAACGAATACCGTACCTGCTGGCACTGCCCACTGATCTTGCAAAAGCCAAGTTGGCCTCTGTCTTCAGCTCCTCAGCCTCCATCCTCCATACACAATGGAGGTCCTACTGCAGCTCAGCCAGGAGTGCCATGGAGCTGGCCTCCGGACTGGGGGTAGGTAGACGGTGCAACGTCAGAATGGACAGCATGGCTTTTCCCACTCTGGATGTGGGAATCGGCACTGCTTTCTAAGTCTGAAGGATTCAAAAGATGGTTTTCCAGCACGATAGCATTGTGTGAAGGGAAACAAATGAGCTGGGTTCATCTCATGGAAGGGTGACTGGAGACAGGATTCTAGGCAGCTCTGGCCTGGCTCATAATAGGCCTTCATGAGTATATGTTGAATTTACAAACTGAAGCATGAATTTACACATTCACTGTTGAATCTGTACGTCTGCAGCCAATATTTTAAATATTGTATATTGTATTGAATAATCTAAGATGCTTTTTTTTTTGAAACTTAGCTTGGTTAGAGCTCCTTTCCAAAGCCTAGAAACCAAAAAAAAGAAAGAAAAAAACCCCACATCTCTGGGAAACAGGGATTTCGTCTACATTTATAACACAAAGAGTTTAACTATTTTGCTCTGACTAGTTATGAACTAACAACTAGCTGATCAGTTTAGTGCCATTAGAAACTGTGTACATGTAAATACAGATGATCTATGAAATTATTTAATATTATGTGCTGCAGGGTGTGGCCATTCACTGAATTCTCCTGCAGCTGCTCAGCTCTCCAGGAGGGTTTTACCACACCTGGGGGCGTCTCCTGAAGTAATTTGAAGATACCTCCCCAAATAGGGCATTGCAACTTATTTATGACCCTTGTGTGTCCCTCCACATAAGCCTTGGATGATGACTCCTTTCTCCATTGTGGGCTACCTTGTCAACATGCGTGTGTCCATCCTTGTCACCTCCTGGGGATTCCGGATGCTTCTACATCCCCCTTTGTCTTCCGCAGCTCATCAAGTCAGACATTAGGTCTTCTATGTGCAGAGTAAAGCCTTGTAACTGATAATCCGGATGAGGTTGGCACTGGCAGCTCACATTGGATCCAGGGTGTTTCTTGCAGCCCAAGGAGCGGAGATTAAGTACAGCAGCCGTGGACAGGAGATGCCCTGCGGGCTCCCTGCGGAGCGTGTTGGCTCGGGCCAGCCCCGGCAGGTAATTAGCTCAGGTGCCAGGGGGCAGAGCCAAATTCCCCTGGGGAGAAAGCCACCCTCGGCAGCGTGCTTAGGAGGATGGTGGAGGAGCGAGGTGAGGTTTAAACCCTGCTGCAGTTTTTACAGCCTGTGTGTCCTGGGCAGTTTCCATTGTCTCTCTCACTTCTGCTTCTTCATCCGCAAGTTGGAGAGAACAGTGGACCTTTCTCACAGGGTTGTTGCGAAGATTACATGGAAGGTTGAATGAAATCATGCATATGAACAGTGTATCTCACCTGGTCCATGATCGTGTTCAAATGAATGTTCAGGAGTCAAGTGTATCACGGAATGACTGACATCGATTTAACCTGAATTAACTGCGATGTCACTCGTAATGGATGATTTGGGTGCAGGAAAGTTAAGAAAACAATTTCACTGTGGTTCGTATTGTAAGATACACAGTCCAAACAAATTAAAGGTTTTATGGCTAAGCTAACATGGAGGGAGGAGTGTGTATTTGGAGAGGAGAGTCTGACTGACCAGTATTGAGTGGGGTGGTTTTAAATGTATCGAAACACACTGATAAACAGCGGCTTCAGGTCAAATTCTGTTCTCTTTTCCACTCATCAGAAACTGCCAGCAGCTGCTGCATGTCCCTGTGGCCCCACGCTGGGTCTAGCTCTGTGTTTGTGCCGGTGCCTGGGCACATCGGTTTGCATTTCTTCTTGTTCCTCCAAAATGCTTTGTAAAGTCTTGAATGCTTTATGAAATTGTAAGTAATTTATACATGCTGTAGACTTGCTAAATGCTTGAGAAATATATGTCTCAGCTCAGTGTTTAAATGAGGGGGTGGCCAATGATTAATAGCCCTTCCTGTGCAAACATTATTATTTTGCATGACAGTCACTTGCAAGGCAGTTCCTGTGTGCCTAAATAAGCTCTTTTTTGGGGGACTTTACAAATAAACTCATTAAAATCTGACCACAACCCAGCAAGATAGATACTGTTATCAACATCTCCATCTTACAGGACAGAAACTAAGGTCTAGAAGGATGTACTAATTTGCCTAATGCCAGAAACCGCAAGAGGAGGAGCCTAGAGTGAATCCTAGACGTGTCTCTTCAAAGACCATAGTCCCCACCACTGGGCCACACGCCTAGCGCCCTGAAGGTGTCCCAGCCTCCTCCCCATGTTCCAGTGCCCCGGTCATGCTCCCTCTCTTCTCACCATACTCCCAGCCCCCTGACTAGACTCCCAGCCTCTTGCTAACACTCAGTGCATTACCTGAAGTGAGCACCTTCCTTGCTCACAGGTGTTACCGGCCAGCTCTTCAGGAACAACTCAGAACCCTGGGAATTCTGAGGCACCAGCGAGAGCTCGGATCCAGGTGGACTGTGCTGCCATTCATCGCCGTTTGAGGGTCTGACATCAGCCACGGTCCGCGGGGTTGCCCGGGAGCCAGTCCTCAGCTTTACCGTTGACCGTGGCCAGCCCAGACACGTGAGGATGTCCCTGGTGGAGAGAGCCAGGGCCATCCACCCTGCAGGCGCAGGGGTGGAGCCTTGTCCTAGACTTCTTACTATGCAGTTGGGCTTAGAATTGGGGAAATCACTAGTTAGCTGAAATAAAAGAAGATCAGCGGATTAGTCGAAAGCTGTTTCATGTATCTTGCCAGTCACAGCATTGAAACGAACACCCCCTTTATTTCCAGGCAGGAAGACACAGAGAGAACCACCCTCCCACCCCATGACAGGAAACCAGGGCAGCGTGCACTGGACGATGCATTTTGCAAGAGGCTTTCTGCACAGGACGAAGCTTTCACACAGCTCACAGGTGGTCACCTGGTTCTCAGATCTAGCACTGGGTGTTACCATAATTACTTACAAAATCCCGATGTTCAAAAAAATGAGTTGAAGAATAATCAAGACATTACCCCCCTTATTTTATATGTATGATTCAGCTGAGAAGGCACTGAATTTAAAGCAGAAACCTTGGGAGGTCTCAGCTCTAGCTCTGTTTCTATGACATGGGCCAAGTCACTCACCCCATTAAACCTCATACTTGGAAGACACAATAAGGAGGAGTTGCAAGATTATTCTGTATGTGTAAAATATTATATATGTGTAATAAGTTCTCATTAGCAGTAATTAGTATGGGTACAGGTTTATTCTAATTACCACATTGTGCCAATTTATAATATGCATAAATATAACATAATAATCCACTTATTTTGGCTGAATAAATTTAAATTGAGTGTATGTGTGTATATAACTAATATATTAATCATATGTACAATTAATGCAATACATTAATTAATGATAGCAAGTAAAATGAAGCAAAATTTGGTGTGATCGATGTCTCACCAAATTGAGTGCTTGTTTCATTGCAGCAAAATTACAACAATTCAGTACTTTCCATTTATGATTAACAACTCTTCATAGTTATGCTTCCTCATTTTCAGCAAAAATTGACAAGACATGTTATTCCTCACATTTTACCGATGAGGAAATGTCAAGGGCTACTAGATTAACCAGAAAACTTGCTCAAGGTCAAGACGGAAAGGAGTTGAATTATTCGTCCCATCACGTCCCGCAGCAAGGCTCTCCTCTTCTGTTGGAGTCAATTGTTGCAAAGCCAAGCTCTCCATCAACCAGTACACAGCTTGGTTTGCTGCCCTGATTCTGCCGGTTGTCAGACCTACACCACAGAGTTAAGTCACTGAGCCTCCTTTAGGTTTGGTTTCCTCATCTACACAAAGGAGATGAAGACAGTGAAATTACAACTGATCATTTTAGAGACTTCTGAAACTGGTGTGAAACCCAGCAGTCCCAGAAGGGTGGCCTGGAAAAGGCTTATTTGAAGGATAGTAGGAATCTCGGGTTCTGCACATCATGTTTACCAATGAACTCACTAATCAGATATGTATTGTGAGCATGTTGCAAGGCATGGGATGTACAGAAGGGGCCCTTAGTCCTGGAGAGAGAGCTAGAAGCAACGACTCAGCCTGCTGTGAGCAGAAGAGGTTGTGCAGAGTGATAGGTATTGAATTAAGATCTGAAGGGGGCGGGTAATCAGGGCAGAGAGTGAGGGCTGGGGAGTGGAGTGGAGAAGGGTTTTCCAGGCAGAGGAAACAGCCTGTGCAAAGGCCCAGCAGTTGGGAGAGAACTTGACACCTGGAAAGGCTTCTAGCTGTTGGGCGTTGCTGGAGCTCGAGTGGATGGTGGAATTGTTGGTGGACTCGCTGGGCCACGTCATACGAGACGTTGCTTCCATGTAGGGGAATCTGTGCTTTACCCATGGGCCACGGGAGCCTTTGACCAAGGGAATGGGTGTCTGCACACAGGAAAAATCACATTGGTTGAGGTGTGGGTGAACTGTAATGAAGCAAAGGGCCAGAGCTGGAGCATTCATAAGCAATTATTGCTAGAGATCAGGGGAAGAAAAGGAAATGGAGGTAAAGATATTCAGCATATTTGGGAGGTTAACAAACATGGCTTATTGTGTAACTGAATGTGCAAAGGTGATGCTTGTTAGAAAGTGCTTTTATTTCATTGGCTCAAAAAATTGGAATTAATAGGCAGCCGAACGTTTGATACTAATGAGAACAAATGGAATGTGAGGTCTCAGATAAGTCTCTTTATTTTCTTCCCAAGAACATCACAATTTTCTCATATCTTTTTGCTAAATCTGAAAGAAGGAAGGGCGATCCTGGTGAGTGAAGGATGATCAGGAGACTGGGGGAAGTTTATTGTCACACAGAGAACTGGTTGTGACTTAGACCCCATATAGATTTCTTTAGAAGTGCTCCTCTGTGCTCAGAGAACTCCCTGATCTAGTTACTTGAAGCTGACAATATCAGGAGACAGGGATTTGAGGGGTCCGACATTTGTAGAGGTGATACAGGGGCACAGAGTCTCACTGGGTTTCCTCAGACCCTGCAGCCTCCCAGGGATGCTTGAACTTTGAACTGTCTACTCATCAGGACATGAAAAGCTACTTTGAGATGAGGTACCTCCCCAGCACCTTCCTCATCGAGCCCACCACTTCCCTGTTCCTCAGGCTATAGATGAGAGGGTTCAGCATGGGAGTGAGGATGGTGTCAAACATAAAGAGAGCCTGGTTCAAAATCGGGGTATGGGAAGACCCAGGCCTCATGTATATCAGCATGGCTGGGCCATAGTAAAAGGTGACCACAGTAAGATGGGAGGAGCAGGTAGCCAAGGCCTTGTTCCTGCCCTCGGGGGAGTTCATTTGCAGGACCTGGAGGAAGATGAGGGTGTAGGAGGTCAGAATGAGGCCTATGGGGAGTAGAACCACAACAGTGCTGGTCATTACTACCCCTTTCTCATAGGCAGAGGTATCCTCACAGGACAGCTTCAGGATGGCTTTGACCTCACAAAAGAAGTGGTGGAGTTCTCGGGGGCCACAGAGGGGAAAGTGCAGAGCATAGGATGTATGGACCAAGGATGCCAGAGCCCCGCCCACCCAGGACCCCATGGCCATCAGCTGGGTGACCTGGCGGCTGATAATGATCGAGTATTTGAGAGGGTGACAGATGGCCACATAGCGATCATAAGCCATGAATGTCAAGAGGAGGCACTCAGCTATCCCCAGAGCCAAGGTGAAGAAGACCTGGGCCCCACAGCCAGTCGGGGAGATCTTTCTCCTCCCTGAGAAGAAATTGGTCGCCATTTTGGGGACTATGCTAGAGATGAAGGCCAGGTCAATGAGGGAGAGTTGGCTCAGCAGGAAATACATGGAGGTATGAAGGCAGGGATCTGCCCAGATGAGGAAGATCAGGGTGGTGTTTCCTGTGATGGCAATGGTGTAGACGAGGAGGACGGTGGAAACAAGGAGCCCAGTGTGTCTCATTCCAGGGAAAAGGCCCAGGAGAATGAAGTCTGTGCTCAATGTCTCATTTCCTGTCTCCATATTCTCTCCTTACCAGTTTCACCTGAAAGATAATGGGGGCTTTCAAAACACACATGTATATAAGACAAATGAATTAAACCAGGATGGTAAATTTAACAATTGATAGCATAACATGAAACCTTTTCTGGGAACTGAAAACAGAATTTTATCCATTTCATAAAGTGTTGAAATCATAGGAGAAGAATTAATAACCAGAGCATAAAGATGACATCTACTAGACTTTTTCCCCATCAATATTCTAAACTTTTCTATATGCACTTTTTCTACTTCATCTTTAATTCTCCTCTTTTGATGATATGAAGAATTCTAATATTCATGCTTTTTCATGTTCTTGATTTCAGTCAATGCAATTTTGCATCTCACAAAGATGCTTTAATAAAATAATTCTATGATTCATGTATAACATGGGCTCTACATGTCTTTTGAAGTAAAGAACTGCATTTTGGGAAACCTTAGTATCAACTTGATTTTGCATTTCCTTTGGGGCAGGGGCCATTGAATGCTGACACACACACGGGACTCAGAAACATTTGTTTGCTCAGTAGAATGGGTTTTCTAAGTCTTTTCTCATCAACTGTATTCAGAGATTCAACAAGCAGCAAAGATTAAACTTGATGTGTCCAAGAAGGATGAGAAAGAACACAACTTTTAAAGTTGTTGTCCATTCTCATAGTATTTTAGAGTTAACTTAGATGGAATTTGGTTTCATCTGTATAGAGAGAAACAAGGAAATTGTGTCAAGGGTTTTACAGCTTCCACCCAGTTGCCTTTTGCATTTCTAGCCGGCCTGATCCACCAGAAAAAGAACACCCAAATATCTGAGAGAGGTATCTTCTGTCAGCTTTGGGAACATTTCATAAAGATAAAAAGTGTTTTCCTGAGCCTCCATGAACACCAGGAGCCTCTGCCCTGAGGTTGGCAGAGTCTCTTAGCCAGCTGGGGAGAGTTGCTGCCCCATCTCTTTCTACTCTTACTTCTTGGTTTCTTGAACCCCTCTGAGCTCTGACTTGTGGCTCTTAGACACTACTGTGCACTAGGACCACATGGACTACTTGCTAAAATGCAGATTCCAGAACCCACTCCCAGAGATTTGGATGCTTGGATCTAGCATGAGATCCTGAAATTTGCATCTCTAAGAGGAGCCCAAATGATTCTGATACTGGTGACATAGACTGGGTTTGAGAAGGCTGGTCCTGGCAAAGATACGAGGCCCCTAGTAAGCAGTGATACCTGGGCATGCTGTTACATTCTTCTCTTAGCCACACAGACACACACATAGACTGGCTTCCATATTTTCTCTTAACTACATAACTAACAGAATTGACTGGTACCTCGGACAGCTCCAGAGCTCTGGCGCTGTAACCACAGGCAGTAATGGAATGATTACAGTTGCTCTGTGTCACATGTCAAGTTGATTAGCTGATGCCTTACAGATCTGATAAGGACCTGTTACACACGCTGATGAACATACACATACATCTCATGGATGCTCAGGTGATTAAAACTATTTTTCATTTTCTGTTTCAAAATTAAGAACCTATTACTCCCAATAGAGTTTGCTTCTCAGAGTCAACAAAATGAACTGAAGGCCAGCTGGATTCCTCTGCATGAAAACTTAAAAAAATGATCAATGCCAAAATAATCTACTGCTTCAGTGAGTTATCGTAACAAACACCAGCACAGCCATACTGGTGAGTTGATATGATTTGTTGTTCCAAGATCGCAAACTACATTCCAAAGTAGTTTCATAGGTCCATGGTATGAGTTTTACTATTTCTTCTTATGAACCTGCCTAAGCCAATCACACGTGTGTGTGTGTGTGTTAAAGATCACGGAAGTAGCCAAAGATGTATTAAACTGAGAAAATGTTAGCTCTTTCCCCCATGGCCCCTCTAAAACTGGGGAAGAAATAAGACAGCAAGCAACTTAGCAAGTTTCAGACTAAATTCTGCCAAACCTACAGACATTTATTGAGTAAACATGTAGACACAGGCCGGCTTACAAGAAACTCCATAGGACCTATTCTGTGAGTTCAAGGAAGCCCAGTTCTCACCACCTGTTGTATGAAAGATTTATTCTGGGAAGGTACTAATAGTGAGAGGCAGGTTTCTGCCACCCAGAAAGCCTCTGGACAGAGAGAATCCAGTTTAAGTCTTGATATGACCTGGCTGGTGAGGTTAGCCTCGATCCTCATAACTCAGAGTAAAAGGGGCATGTGACCAAGCCTTATACATGACTGGAAGATACATCTAAAACAATTTTTTGTTAATCCACATATTAGGGTTATATTGAATTTTACTTCTAGCAACCCATTTCTACTATTCATCATGTTAAAACAGCAAAATATTATTCTCATCAGATAAAATCTTATCCTGTCACTCTTTATTCTAATTAGTAGTTGTCCATTTCTTCTTAAGCAAAATGTTTAAGAGCCTCTGGTCTAGAACCTAAGATCTGATCTGTTTCAATATTCTATGATTCTAAGATAATTGAGTACCAAAGCTAATTGATTAAATACTTTCACATTCTAGCCAGTAATCTTCTTGATTTTTCTCTTTCTTTTAATTTTACCAACATTTTGGTATTCTGAACCCACATTTTGTTCTTTTCTTCAAAAAATCAACCATATGAGCTAGTTGATAGAGTAAATTAAGTCTAACATGTCGTATCCTAATTCTGTTCCCTGGAGCAGACTCTTCCAGGAAAATTTATCTTTTTCTTTTTGGATTCTGATCTGGATTGAATGGTCAATAAGGGACAGAAGTTCCAGTGTTATCTCTCAGTGACGCATGTGGATGAGGCATGAATATCCTTGGAATACTGGCTATCTAGGTCAAACATGACACTTCTGGGAACCAGCAAAGTCATAGTGCATGGTGGCTTTTCCCTGGGAGGCCAGGAAAGAACTGGGAATTCAGAAATATGTCCAGCTAAGGTTTTTTGTTGCTAATTCACTTTATTGGCCTAAGAAAGTAGGTCCCAACTCATTCAGTGGGTGGCAATGTTTCCACTGCTTTTGGCTGTACAGTGTAGTTGGCATGTCACGGAGGAGATGCTTTAGCTTAAGGAGTGGTTGATACAGACCCACTTGGGAGAGCAGTTGTCAGGTGAGCTCCAGTCATTGATCCACTTTCTTTTGCACTGAAGCTGATAGTTCACAAACCTTATCTGGCTGGATCACCCACAACAACCCCTGAGATGGAAACAACAGCTGTTTCCTTCCTACATTATAGATTGAGAAATTTATACTCCGAGAAATTAAGTGAGCTATTGTTCAAAAAAGCAGATACTGGAAGACCTAAACAAGCAATTCTCCAGTGAAGACGTACAAATGGCCAAAAGGCACATGAAAAAATGCTCAGTATTGCTAATTATCAGAGAAATG